GTATGTATGTATGTATTATATATGTAATTTTTATAGTATATGAATCATATCAACTTCTTACTGGGCTGCTTGGCCATCTGGGTGTGAATCCCAGGAAGCGCCTTTTGATTGTGATCGTTTCCGTTTGCGTGGGCTTCAGGCCTGAAGATTTGCGTAGAGGTTGCGCTTCATGGGCCACCTAAACCCTAAACCCTATGCGGAGCCTTGCCGGCCTTGTGCGAGTGTGAGAGTCGAAACCGTAAGAGCAGCCCAGGTGTGCCTTTTGGCTGTCGCCTTCGGCTGCTTGGATGGATTGTTCGAGAAACCTCAGCGCTTTCGTACGGAGAAGAGCCACATCTGTAAGAAGCTAGTTTTCATCTGTCTGCTCTATGCCTCATACATGAAAACCTCTCCGAACATCTCGCGCCTGCTTGTCTGTTCTCGCTCCGGTCCTGCATAGTATCAGGCCCGACCGAGAAAGCCTGATCAGCAACCTTCAGCAACCAGTAAATCGCGTACTCCTTGGTGAACCCGGTTGCGTATAGCCGGAACGTCAACCTTACCAAGTCTCGCGATCCTTTCATTTCTTGCCGACAAAAACATCTAAGCTGTTCTGAGGCACGGCGTGAACAAGATACTGCCGAAAAAGCCTTCCTCAGGAAGGCATGTCGAGTTCTCCCCAAGCCGTCCAAATCCTCAAGCCGAGGCCCGCCAGCCCCATCAGACCGCTGCCACAGAATTTCGTGTCGAAAAGGCCTTGAGGCCCCAGACTCTAGGGTTTAGGGTTTAGGGTTTAGGGTTTAGGGTTTAGGGTTTAGGGCAAGCAACCTCATAGAAGTTGCCCTGAACCCTAAACCCACGCGTGTCATTGGCAACTCCACTCTCGCTGTGAATCCAAACGCCCAGCAGGACTCCGCTTTTCGTTCGTGAGACTCCTGGCGACGGGAAAAGTGTCGTACAGAAAGGAAAAAACTAAACGAATCAAAACTACAAAAAGAAAGAATCCATGGGTTAAGGCAGGGGCCTTAATAATTAGCATTACATACCTATACTAGTTTTGGGGGTCCTTGTTATCGTTATAGTGCAGTATACCCCAAAACCCTATTCTAATTCTAGAGGCCCCTACATCTAGGACATGTTCAGGTGGGTAGTTACCGTTATAGGAGCCTTATAGAAAGTCTAAAAAACCTTACAGAAGCCTTATGGAAGGTCTAAAAAATTTTTATAGAAGCCTTATAGAAGCCCCATATACCCTAAACTCTCCACCTGTAGCTTCCTTTAAATGTGGGTTACCCTAAACCCTAAACCCTAAACCATGCGAGAGGGAAAGAAACCCTACACCTGAAACCCTAATCCAAAGGTTGCCACTAAACCCTAAACCCTAAACCCTCAACCCTAAACCCTAAACCCTAAACAGGTTGCCTCATGGCCCCGGCGTTCGTGCCCACTGTGCCGCGCAGCGATCGTCTCGCAGCGGCTGCTGGCGCGGCCACCCTGGCGACTCTTGGCCCAAAGAGAGTTTGAGGTTTAGGGTTTTAGGGTTTAGGGTTTTGGGGTTTAGGGTTTAGAGTCCTGGATGCAAAAGGGTTTTAGGGTTTAGGGTTTTAGGGTTTAGGGTTGACGGTTTAGGGTTTTAGGGTTTAGTGAGAGTTTGGGGGTTCTTGGAGGGTTTGCCGTAAGGGATAAGGGTTCCAACAAGTGTTAGTCTAAGGGTTCGCGGGTTTAGGGCTTAGGGTCCGTAAAGGGGGGGGGGGGGGGGGGGNNAAGAGGGGGTGAGGGTTGCATAGCCGCTGGCCGGCACCTCCGTCCGTGCTGAAAAGGGTCCGTAAGGGTGACTGGATGGGTTAAGGCTTTGTTGGAGTTTCCGTGTTAGGGTGCGGTCCATGGACTCGTAAATGCTCTCGCTCTCGCTCTCTGTGAGATGGATGGATGGATGGATGGATGGATGGATGGATTCATGGACCGGTGGATGGACGGGTGGATGGACGGGTGGATGGATGGATGGATGGATGGATGGATGGATGGATGGGTGGATGGATGGATGGATGGATAGGAAGGCGGATAGGTAGATAGATAGGTAGATAGATAGATAGATAGATAGATAGGCACGCACGTAGATAAATAGATAGATCGATAGATCCATGGATAGATATATAGATAGGTAGTTCGATAGATAGATGGATGGATGGATAGATAGATAGGTAGGTATATAGGTAGATAAAGAGATGGAGGGAGATGGATAGATAGATAGATAGATAGATAGATAGATAGACAGATACCAAGACAGATAGATAGATAGGTCAGGTAGAGGGATAGACAGACAGACGGGTAGGTGGATAGGTTGATAGCTAGATGGAGAGATAGGTAGACAGCAAGCTACAAAGGACACGCAGGCTTTTGTCTTGGACCATCTGTTCGTTCAGGCCCTCTGAGAAGGAGTCTGCGTCACTCAGGCCTAGATCCCAACCGCAACTACATGGCATTCAGAATGTCGTAGAGGGCTTTCCGGGCTAGATTTATGGTTTAGGAGATTGTGCAGATTGGAAGCCCTGTGGCGAGGAGGCTCGTGGGGCCTGACAGACGAAGAGAGAGAGAGAGAGAGAGAGAGAGAGAGAGACAAAGAGAGAGAGAGGGGAGATGACAACAACAGATCCGGTGTGCACCGCCGCCGGTCGAGTCTCTTCTCAGCTTCATGCTAAAGCCGCCCAAACCCAAAGACTCCTAAGCCCAAAAAGCCCAACGAGCCTGAACCAAGAATTCTGCACCCCTAAGCCCTGAAGACAGCACGATCTAGAATCTAGAAACCTTATCTCAGGACCATCCCAGCCGGGGCTGAGGCATTCGTCTACAAGGGCCGCCCGGTTCGGAGTCGGGATTTTGACTCTGCTGTTTGTTGGCAAAGCTATGAGAAAATCTGATGTGCTTGTATTAGCAGAATCCAAGAACATCTCTTTTGCGGGCTCTTGTCTCGGATTCTTTCGGTGTTTTGTAACATATCCATGACAGAAGCAAGTAGAGGGTTTTGGTTTAGGGACAGACTTCAGAACTCCTACAGCCCATGGAGGCACACCCTAACGCTCGACAGAGCAAGGCAAGGAGTACTTCGATGTCTTCTACGGCATCGAGCCGTTGGCCTGGGCTTTCTGCGGCTTCTGCATCGTCTACTACGGCGCGGTGCTCAAGAACGCAGCCCAGAAGTGTCTCGGAATGTGGGCTGTGGGCTTGGGGTGGTATCGCTTCAGCTGGAGTGCTAGCCGCAGTGGGCACGTTTTCCATGCTCTCCATGGGTTTGAAGTTCAGCCGAGGTACAACATCCCGCCCGCTCCGGCACCACCAAAGGTCGGCGGCTTCGTTGGCAAAGAGGTCGAGAACTCGGAGCCCAGCTACATGGATCCCGCCATCAAGCAGGGTCCCTATTGAGAGGTCCTGGAATAGCTTCCAATCTGTGACAGTCCAGAGTTGGCCAGAGGCTTAGAATCTAAGCCTTCAGATGGCCATCCAAAGATGGGAGCTATGGAGCAACCCTCTGCCCTAAACCCACATTACAAGTAAGTGGGAGGGAAAAAGCTCCAATTACAGCTTGAAGTTAAAAAGTCCTAGCGGACAGGATCTCTTGGTTCCGAAGGCAGAGGGGGGCCCATCCGGATCCGCTCGCAGCAGAAGCAAAGAAGAGCCGAGGGCTCCAGGGCTCGGTCTGACAGCTCGTGGTATTCGAGCTGAGAGAAAATAGGCTAATTTAGGGGCCTACATAATTACTAATATTATGGTGGGGTTCCTTATCATAAATATTATAAATATAGTATAATGGGCTCCAAAACCCTATTCTAATTACTAGGGCCCATACAGTATACCTTTTTGGGGTACTAAAATCCCCAGATGGGCATTGCCGCGAAGAACCCTTTTATAATCCTTGTCCCTCCTCCTCCTCCTCTCCGTAGTCATCCTACCCTGCCCTGTACCCGAAACCCAACACCCTGAACAATAAGGTGTGGTGCAGATGATAAGTCTTGATCCTCGGAAGCTATACCAGACTCTACAAAACCAGCGGTTAAGCACCCTCGCGCACGGAGGAGCGCGGAAGGCCGAGCTGAAGAAGTAATTTTCCGTTGTGCACGGTCACTGGAAACTAGGCAACACCCACATATTCGCCAAGGATCACTTTCATTTCCCTTTAAGAAACTGGACAGGAAGCAGGGTTCAGGCTGGACAGGGAAGGCTCAGAGTTTAGGGTTGCGTTAACCGTGAAAGCCGGCCTGTAGCGACAAGAAAGGGTCACATGA